TACATCACCAAAACAGTCTCACCCGATAAATAAGTGGCGTAGGCCGCAAACATGTTCTGCGTCTGGAGTGAGTGTTTGCTCTGTGTTTGGAGTGAGTGTGTGACATGTGCTTGACTTGTGCATCTGTTTGCATGTTGTTGGAAAACATATTTTAACGGATGCATTCCTCGATACGACATGAGATGAATCAATACTACTCCGAAAACTTTTGGGAAACGTTTTGCGCGGAGGACGTTGAGTTACACCCGGTAGACAGCAGTAATTTACCAACTGAGCTCGATGCTGAGGAAATCTTCACATGTCCACACGTATCCATCATCCTATCAAAATAGGCGGCACTTGCAACTTGGTTTCCAATATGTGGCTGTTGTTGTCTCGAAGTCGGGAACCCGTAACAATACATTTTTCACGTTTTCGCCTTTCTGTACAACGAATTTCGCGCATGTAGAATAACAGCCAGATGTGTCAAAGATCTTCGGCCGATGGGGTTCATTCCGAGGCGCGAAGCACAACAACCGGTTGATGCTTCGGTCAGCACTTCGTCAGCCTACGTCATACCTGCCAGCTTCGGTCTGCTGCAGCCGTACACACACCAGGAGGAGAACATCTTGGGCGTGTGCGAAAACTAGTACCCACAGCAGGGTGGAAAGGCATTTTCATACCTGATCACGTAGCAAACTTCTTTTCCAATTTACACCCGGCGTTCCTGTGTATTTGACTCATCCGATTGGCATTCATAACTGATATTTAGCACACTTGTTCTCCTATTAACGCCCACCGTTCCTGTGTATTTAACTCATCCGATTGGCATTCACAACTAATAATGTAGCAAACTTGTCCTCCTATAAACCCCCAGCGTCCCTGTGCATTTCACTCATCCGATTGGCATTCATAACTGATCATGTATGGTCAGGCATCTTGAACGAACACCCAAGGGACTGTGCCATTACCTGCAACAGAGTCAGAAAAAAGGCCCAAATCTCCACATGTTCGGATACCGGTCAAGGACCTACCGTACGTACTGCCGACCACCGAAGGGCGATCGTCTTTGGTGCTGTTGTCAAGCAGTTTCGGAGCGAACCTACACAGCGCTCTAGAAAGTAGGATGCACCACGGAAAAGATTTCGAGTCCTATATTTCAAAACCCCTCTCTTGTTATCATGCCTTGTCTACTCTTGTACTCACCACCGGCCTATTGTAGCGACGCCAGAGAAATTATTGCCCGCCTTCACCGTAAGGGATCCAAATATCTGCGGAACTTTCCCGCATCTCGTGCTTCCTGCCTGTTTCAGCCATCCCCTCGATCTCGTCCAAGGATTGGCGCTGCGTTGACAAGCTGCTGGCACCGCCCGTCACTGCCGCCGCTCCTAGACGCCGTCGGTGGTTTTGGTGTGCATTCTATTGGCCCTCGCAAGTCCATTACAGTCTAGTGTTGCTTGGATCGTCCTCACGACCTATGCTGTTGCCGCTGCTGTGCGTATATTCCCGCCGCCGCGGGAGTGTACACAGTCCCCTGGTCGGGGGTGGTGGGGCGAGGCGACGCGAAACATTCTGGTGGTCATCTTCCCCGTGTTGCTCGAGTTTTTTCGGGTGTGGCGATTCCCTCGTTTGACCTGGTCTCTTCGACAGTGGTGCTTGCTGCCCGTTGGACGCCCTCGCTTAGAGCCAAGCTCGGTGTAGGTGGTTGGCATGGGGATGGGTATTAGCGTTGCAACAGTTCTATCCCTTGGTTAGAGCAATGCATGCAACATGATGTTGGCGCATACTGCCGCGGTGCCACGGGGTAGCAAACATCACTGGGATAACAATAGCAGCGCCAGCAGATAGCCTTCTTCGACCAGGTAGCACAGATCTACATACCTGGTTTAATGCAGGAGGACCCTTACACCCAACCCATATTGCTGCTGCTGGAAGAACGTTGATTGTGGCAGCGCCAGGTTAAGCGGCACGGAAAGTATTGCTGTTGGCGCCCGCAGTTAAGAAACGCTTATTTCAGGTCCAGCTTCGAATTCTTATTGTGGGCCNCTCCCCCCCTACCAGTTCGCCGAACATCAGTCGTTTCGGGAGTCGCCCGTCCGGCTGCCTTGCCAATGCTCCCGCTAATACAGTTGGCGCCCGCAGTTACAAAACGCTTATTTCAGGTCCAGCCTCGAATTCTTATTGTGGGCTATAAACTAAGCGTATGTCGCTCAGTTTCTTATTTCAAGTTTCTTATTTTTTCGTGCAGCCAAATCCTGCTGAATTTCTTAAATCGGCAATTTCTTATTTCTCTGCTTGATTCAGCCCCCGTACTCAACCCCGATTCTCACTACCGACGGCTGCACGTAAGGCCACTCCCTAGAAGCGAAAGGTATCCAGCGGCAACGTCTCGCTATCGCTACGAGGTTCTGTACCCCCCTCATGAGTGAGGGCTGAAACTAAACAAATGCATTAACACCGCATGATGCCTCACCCGCACGCTGACGTGCCAACAACGAAAACTACCCCGTCATTA